TCTGAGTGTACACGGGACGCGCCGGGGTCGCGATCAGCCATCTGCTGCGCGCAGGAGGGCCAGCAGCCTTTTGGCGCACGCGCCTCTCCGCCGAGGGGGAAGGGGAGAGCGCGGTGATGCGCCGCAGGCTCGAGTGCGTGGCTGGGAGGTCATATTGGGCGAGCTCCTGGGCTGCTCAGGCGCACACTCACAGAGGAGCTGTGCGACCAGAAGCCCGCGGCTGTCGGGGCAAGCTCGGCGGGAAAAATGTTGCAGTTCAGCGGCCGCTAGTCGGCACCCTTCGTCCGCTATGCGCCCGTTCTTCTGCACACCTCGACATGTACGACTCACCACGAAACTTGTCGGGATGCCGCGGGACTCTTGTTTCGGCCTGGAGGCGTCGTAGGGGCCTCCGGGGCTTTGGAGAGCTGTTGGCCCAACTTGGGGGCTCTTGGGAGCCGTATTGGGCCCTCACAGGCCGCTCAGGGTGTCCTCCGAAGCCATATTGAGGACAACCAGCTGACTTCGGAAGACAAATTGGGTGATGCCCAGCGGAAGGCAAAAAGCTCTCACGTGCTGTCAATGTGCTCCACCTCCTGAGTGGTCCACTAGGGCCGCCTTGGAGCTGCACTTCAGGACCAAATTCAGGCCACCCCGTGCGAACCTGAGCTCACGCCGGCCATCTCAGGGCCCTTTGGGGCCCACCTCGAGCAATCCGGAGGCCATCCTGAGCCATCTTCGGGCCGTCCTGGACCGCCGAATAATTAGCCACCTTGAGCGGCGCTCACGGGCACCGAAGGGGGGTTAGACGCTAGTCAGGAGGGGGAAAAACGCACAGACACAAATAAACGTCGATTCCAGTGGAAATATGGGAAAAGTGTGCGGGGGAGGACGACAGCCCAGAAAATAATTGCGTGAACACGCGGGGATTCCTGGGATCTGTGCCGAGTTCTTTGTGTGCCCCTGGGCGCCTTCCCCGGCCAGACCGCAGGAGGGCGCGGAGCCCGTGGCCGAGACGCGGGGGGGGGAGGGGGGCTCCGAGCCCGACCTGCTGGCGCCTCGAGGCGGCCCAGGGGGCCTCGGGGGGGCGGCGGTCTGGAGCAGTCTCGTGGAACCGGGGCGTCCTCCCGCGTCCCCTGGCCGCCGTGCAGTCAGCCCGCGAGCCCGCAAAGGTAGTAAGGATGGGCAACCCTCCCAAGGGTACCCTGTGCATCCTCGCCCCTTCGGCCCATCCTTGACGGCTTGCGCTGGCCAGCCTCGCTTGAAAAACGTTAGCTCTGAGGCTCCCAGGGCCCTTGCATCCTTATACCGCGCATGCTGATGGCACGGGTTGGCTGCACTCCTTTGGCGACGTCGCAAGCAGGGCGAACATCTCCGCGCCCCCTTTGTCAAGCTCCTTGGATGCCGATGTTTCCGCCTTGCTTTGCTGTCGCCGTTTCCGCCGCGCTCTGCGCGGAGGCATCCGCTCCATTTCTTCTGAGGCGGACGTCTCCGCACTGCCCGTTCGCATCGTGTGGGGCTCGTTTCCGACACAGGTGCAAGCCGGAAGATCCACCAAAGCACGGCGGATCCGAAGTCGAGGTCCTCGCCGTCCCCTTGTCCCTCCCGTCGCTGTCCTCCCCCCTCTCGGCGGCGCGCACAAGGGGGATCTGGGAGTGGAGGGGAGTGCCTCTTAGAGGGCGGGTGCTTCTTGGAAGGCGCGGGCCTCGTCCACGGATGTAGGGCCGGCGCCTTCCAAGAAGCAGCCTCCTTCCAAGAAGCCTTCCCCCCTCCACCCCATGGTCCCCCATTGTGCGCGCCGCCAGCTCCCCTCGCTCTTTCTCTGCTTCTCGGGCCCTCATGCCTCGGCCCTTCCTTCCTCCTGCCCTCCCCCCCCCCGTCGCCCCCTTGAGGCCTTCCTCGCCCTCCTGCGGGAACGCCCCCCTAGGACCCCCCCCCCCCCCCGTTCCTGCCCGCTCCCCCTCGCCTGCCTTCCAGCCCGTCCCCTCCCCCGCCCCGCTCCCCTGGGCCCCCTCCTCTCCCTCCCCCCCCCGACGCCCCCCCTCCCCCTTCCAGCAGCCCCCCCCCCCGCCCCCGCCTTCTGTGCCCCAGGCCCGTCCTCCAGGCCCTGCCCCCCGCCGCGTCCGGTCCCTCCCTCCTGCCCCCTTGCCCTGCACCACCCCGCTGCCCTGCGCGCCCCCTCTCCCGTTTCCTCGCCCCTCCCCTTGTTCCCTGCCCCCGTCCCCTGCCCTCCATGCCACCGGACGTCGCCGACGCGGTCAAGTGGAGACATGCATTCGCGGCTGCTGTCCTCGCAGCGCTGCGGTCGTGATGCATGACTGCCGCCGCCGCGCTCCCCCGCTCCCGGGCAATCGAGCTGGATGCTCCAGGCCGGACTTCCAGCGGCGTGAATCCAACCCGTTCGCTACAACGGGAGGCGGCGGGGACGAGCCGCGGGGCCCGCCCGATGGCCCGCCCCGCCCTCGAGGCCCGCCTGGGCCAGGGCACTGCGACGAACGTTGTGCTCCATGGGATATCCCCCCCGACATCCTTGGAGGTAGCGAGGGGAGCCCACTCGGGCCTAGGCATGGTCTTCGACAGTGACGAAGAGATTCCCCCCCGCGCGCCAGGTTGTCGCGACAGCGACGGCCACGGCGCAGACGACGATAGCCCCCCTGCACGCCCAGGCAGGCACGTGACGACGGCGACCCAGGAGGCGGAGGCCCACCAGGACCCAACCTCGGGCATTCCACTGCGACCCGCGCAGCACAGCACGGGGATGGACCACGCGGCAGGCAGCACGGACCCCACCGCCCACCCCGACGCAGACAGCCACGCCCCAGGGGGGGAGGAGGAGGAGGAGGAGGAGGAGGAGGAGGAGGAGGGAGGAGGATGAGGAGATGAGGAGGAGGAGAGAGGAGGAGGAGGAGGAGGAGGAAGCTGAGGAGGTGGAGGAGCGAGGAGGAGGAGGAGGAGCGAGGAGGAGGAGGACAACTGCGCCAGCCACGCCGCCCGCCTGGGAGAGGCTCTGCGCATGGCCAGGCGCGGGGTCGCGGCCTGCGCCCCGAGGGGCCAGCTCCGTGCCTGTCCCCCTACAGGGGGATTTTCGACGAAAAATCAAAAAATACACAGAAAATAGTCCAAACAAATAGTCCAAACATAGTCTGGGGATTTTTTTGTTTGAGTATGTTGTTTACCTTTCTGGGGCATTTTTTGGGTATGTTCCCAGGCAGCGCTCCCTGCCGCCAGACGAATCCCCCGCCCAGCCAGGGAGAGGGGACCGAGGGCCCTCGCACCGAACACACCGGGGCGTGGGCGCCCTTAACGGCCCCAGCGCAGCGCACGGATCGGAGGGGTGCCCTCGCGCAGCGCGTCGCTCCCGCCCGGCCACGGCCTCCACGGGCTCGTGGAAGCCGCGCTCACCGGAGGCATCACGGCGCTGCGGCAGCGTGCCTCCAGCCGCGCCTGCACGCCAGGCAACATTCGGGGGACCTTGTCTGTCCCGTCGCGGCCCTGCTCGCGTCGAATCCGCGTCGAATCCGTGTCGGCCTCGTCGGATCCGTGTCGAATCCGTGTCGAATCCGCGTCGAATCCACGCCAAATCCGCGTCGAGTCAGCATCGAGCCCGCGTCGGGTACAACAAAAAA